AGTATGTAGAAGTTCATCAGTTTTGGCTTTCAGCTCAGTGTTCAGCCAAGTGTTTTGACTCTGTAGTAATTCCTTTTCTTGCTCCAACCTTTTCTCACGATACTATAAATAAAATTGCACAATGTGATTGTACCAGTTCCACAGAAAATAAAGAATCTAATCAAAGTACTATGACCAGAGCAGAAGTAAAAACAACACTGTAATTTGGAAAAAAAAAAAAATCAAATGACAGGTGGTGCTCCTTATTGCATTGGTAATACTAACTTACCTGTCTCAGACTACAAAGAACTTCTTGACATGAGTTAGCTTTCTCAAAGTTTGGTTTTTTTACAATAGACAGGAACATAAAGATTTTCTTCTAGTCAAAGAAAATGAAATTAAGATATCAAACCATTACCTTCCTCCTCCCTTTACACTTCTTTATCGCGTTTACTCTGCCAATAGAGAAGTGGTGCATGTTCAGAAGTAGACTTTTTTCTCCTTTCCACCTGCCTTCAAGGACCTGCAGGCCTTCTTCCTAGTGGGCAGGAGCAGCTGCTACTGCCGCTGCTGAGGCTTGGGCATGCTTGTCCAAACTGATGCGCTCTATGTATTAGCTCTAAATATTACTTGCTCCCTACATGCCTCTGACTTCCAAACCCTGACATCAATTTTATAGTAAGACCTTTTGTCAGAAATGACAGAAGAAGCATGTAAGTGGTTTGACCTACTTTCAAAGTTAATAATGACAAAATGATGATTACAACACATGTAAACAACTATTTATTGATAGCATTATCACATTAACAAGTACAATGAATATAAAACACTACCCACCTTCACAGAAACATCTGATGTTTGAAGTTCATCTAACTTTAACTGAAGTTTCACCTTTTCTGTGTTTGCTTCTGTAAGCTTTTCATTTAAGCGTTTAACATCCTCTGGGAGAGGGAGGAGGAAACACATGTAAACAAACTAACAGTAAAACTATTAGTTTTACCTATTAACTAGGTTTAACTAACAACGTAAAGAACGAAAACAGATAACTTATGATGAGAATACTGTCAACTTTTGTGTTGTTTTCTCTGCGCAAAGCCAAGCACTATTTACCAAAACGCTGTGTTTTTCTACAACTTGCATGTAACTTCCTACCTCATTTCTCTTCCCCAAACTAAATCCTGTTTTCTGCTAGTCCATTACTGGGAGCTCTCTACACAAACTGGATACTCCATACCAGCCCAATTCTTCAAGCAAATCTTTTGTTTAACATAAGGACGTGAACTGTTTTGTTACTATATTCTTGGATGTACCATTTAAATGTTCAACTTCCTGAGATCGTCTTTCACTTGTTCGAACCAAATCTCTTTTTTCAGCTTCCAGTTCTTCTTTTTCTCTAATTAAATGGCTCTGAAAAAAATCGCAAAAGAGCACTAAAGAAGTGTAATCAGCTTTATTTGACAGTTTATAGTCACCATTTACATTTAACACCACAGAGACGTGTGCTAAATAACAGCAAGTTATCCCTGCCAACTACAGCGACTGAAAGCTGGTATAAGATGGTTCGACAGTGGGAAACTGATTCGGTCTAAACTACACGGCAGAGAAGTGTAGCTGCTTTCATTGTTTCTATCACCTTGGTATATATAATTCACACAAATGCAGGTTAACACACTGCTTTCTTCTAGTGCATTCAAGTTTCCACACCCAACAGCTTTCAGTGAGTTTAAACTAATTTTTCACAAACCATTCTGATACTAATGCCCAGCTACCCCTTTGTGCTTACATGTGAAATGCCAGTATTGCATGCAATTAGGTAGCAAAGAAAAGAGAGGAGTATCACTCAGCTTACGAGATCTGTTCACTGAATAGCTAGTCTCCGTGCCTTTCCTTAACTGGCACAGGGGTGCCCAACCTGCAACAGGGCTCTCTCTGGTTCTCGCAAGACACTGTATTTGACTGAAGTCCTCTGGGGAAACATCAGATACATCTTCTCATTGTGGACAAATCAATCTAACAATATTCTCCCTTCCTGCACCAGAATCAGTCGTCTGCTGGATTAGTCAGCTGAAGTGACTTTTAGTCATAATGCAAGGAAAACCATGTCAGTATGTGGAAAAGGATGGGGGAGAAAGATCTCCTCTTCAATTTATAGCTTAACAGTAGATGAGCTGCAATATGAAGCATAGCTGCCACTGTTTGATTGAAGGGTTAGCTTAACTAACTTTGGAACAGCTTTCAACTAAGAGGAAACAATCTACTGAAACTGAAATAACAGTAACTGCGCTGCCGTAAGTACACCTGTATCTCAGTTTGTTAAAACTGAACATTATCCAGAAACCACACAATCTTCCTGAACAAAGGTAACTATATCTGTACTGATATAACTAAAGTCTATTTTGGAATTTGCTTTGGTGCAATCTTTGGTGCAATCAAAGAGGTGAATCAGTCTTTCAACTTATCACCTAGTTCCTCTGGTACCTGTATGGCTGTGTTACGATCCTGAGCAGCTTCAAGTTCTTTATTTTTCTCATTCAGCGACTTCAGCTGGTCATCTGTTCGATAAGAAGAAATAGCAGTGAGGTAACTCCATTGTAACAGAACCCATTCTCCAGATGCAATTAAGTCATCATTTCCCTTATCAACACTGACAAGAAAGGGAAGAATTCAAGACTACAGTAAACAGAAACCCAGTACATAGATTGGATGGCCTGAGCAGTATTGAAGCAACCTAAAGCAGTCCTTAAGGGCAGAGGCATTTATTGCCAAGATCAACATATGTCCACTGTCTTATTATTATTACAAAACCAGAAAGCAAATACAAGGCTTTCTTTTTCCCTTAAACTGAAATTTCCATTAAAAAGAAAAACTGCATGAAAAAGTAAAATATCACTTTATCTGCAGAAACAACAAAAGTTACTGACAAGTGATTTTAAACTCCTGCTTAAAGCTTTAAGCATTTCAGTATAACATTGGATTACGGAATGACAAATTTTGTCCGGTCTTAAGAATGTGCAGTTATACTTACGAAGTTTTTTAAGCTCCTCACGGAGAGTTTGACATTCTTGGGTCTCATTTACAAGCCTCTCCTGACTTTGAGCCAGACGCTTTTCTACTTCAAAGTATTGTTGTTCTGCAAAACGACAATGCTATGTCAATTCTTAATAAGTAACTTTTCTCATTTCTCATCTTTAACAAAAACCCTACTTATCGACAAGTATATTAAAGAACAATACTTATCAAGAGAACATCTGAAAATAATAATACTATAGTAGAATCCAAAGAAGAAAACCTGTCTTTCTGAAGCCAAAAGAGGTATTTCTAAATTGGATTAACACTGTTGAAAATACTTTGTTAGCAAGGAAAAATGTATGTTTCTGAACATGATTCATAAAATAAAAATCTAATCAATTTTTTTACTTAATGTTTTTGATTTAGCTCCAGTCAGTTCTATTAATACAACCATGTAGTGTGGGCTCAATTACATCAACTTAAAATTTCTTGTATGGTATTTCTGTAGAGTATTTTTCTTGGTAATCTGTAGAGTATTTCTACACAGATATAATAAAGCCCATGTAAGCCTAGGTACCCCGAGATAAAATCTGGAAAGTGTTTTACAAATGCTTCTGAAACAGAATTCCTATGTTCTATGCTGCACATCCCAGAATACTGAAAAAAATAGATCTAAATTGTGATTTATTATATGAAACAGTAACTGCGTTACAGAGCTTAACTGTAAAACGCTTGGTAAAATCAGAGATAACTTTTCTATCAGGCATAGTGGACTTCTAAAAAAGCACCGAGGAATCTTTTTTTTTTTTTTTAAAACATATTTTATGCTTCTTAATAGTATCTTACAATTTCAAATAACGCTGCCCCTCCAGCTACATTTGAGAAGCAAGTACACAAAAGAGACCAGCCTACTTAAATTAATAAATTCTAGCGCAAATTAAGGTAATCCATAAGTTTACCTGAGCAAGGTTTTTATTGTGAAACGAAGGCAGAAAGGTTGAGGGAAAGGCGAAAGGAAAAGTTAAAGCACAAGTTTGTCACCTACGTGATAAGCTAGCTCACACCCACAAGCCTACCCAGCATGCATGCTCATCTACGCTTTTCTCTCACTTCTACTCCAGTTCCCTACTGGTATCGACTCTTCTGTGATCAAGTAAGCGCCAAACCAATCCAGAGACTTCGCTTTTATCAGGAGCAGACCATCTGGGAAGGTTCACTTTCCCAACATGGGATTTGACAGAAAAACTACTTGTTCTGAGAGTTGCCTGGGCAAATCCTTATTTCTCTTCCTCGACTAGGATCACAGCAGATCGAAGTTGCATCCTCGCCCGTTACACATCTCACGGAAACCAGCTGTTCCTCAAGCCCCGGTGCCGGGCC